ATCTTGAAAGCATCCCTGTCTTCTATGTCTGATAATTTGTCCTCACATTGGTCACTTCTGCTGCCCATATTTTCAGTATAACTTTTAATTTCTGTTTAAATCTTTTCATGGTCTCTAGTTCTTTGCTAGACTGGTCATTAATCTTTTGTATCATTTTGTTTTGCTCAGCTAGCTTTTTATTAGTCTTTTGTAAGTTCCCTGATTGTTTTGTTTATTATCTCTCTTATCTGATTAGTTATATTTCCAGTGAGTCCACTGAGTACCTGTTTGATCTGATTTTTAATCTCCTTTATTATCCTTTCAAATAATTCTGATGGGTGGCTTTTGCTTTCAGAATCCCATGGATCAGCTCTGGGGGAGTTGGGAGTTTGGGGGGCCTTTTTTTTTTTTTTTTCCCCTCATGTGTCTATTGGGTTTTTCGTTTTGTTTTGTTTTGTTTTGTTTTTGACAGGGATTGAACCTAGGCCGTTGCACTGTGAGGCAGGCGGTGGAGCCACTGAGCCAAATCCCTGGCTATTGTTTTTTGTTGTTGTTTTGTGCTTAGGTACAGGGTCACTTGCAGTGGAAAGACTTTGTGGCCAGCATGAAGAGCTCCTTAGTTTGTCTCCTTTCCAGTGATGCAGTCAGTACATGGCTAATTATAGTTCTTTGCCTCTATCCCAAGATCTGATCACCTCTGTTAATATTGGAAGGGGTGGGGATGCATTGAAATTGGCCCAGCACCCAGTTTTGGGGGAGTTGACTGCAGTATTATTAATGTCACAAAGGTAATCCAGGTATTGGTATATAGAGAAAAACAACAACTATGAAACCCTGGCAGTATCAATTAAATCAGCAACAATAATATCATCCAAGATAAACTGGATGTTGACATGCCATAAGAACCAATAAGGTATAACCCTTAACTTTAGAAAGCAAATCTATAGTTACAGTATAAACCCTTAGGCAAACTAAATGTTGATATACATCAAATATTAACTAAATGCAATGACTATGTCTCCACTAATGATAGAAAAGAATTGAAGATTAATAAAGCGTAATGGTTATATTATTGAAAATATAGGAGGTTAGAAATGGGAGAATGCAGTAAGAAAAATTTTATAAATTAAACAACAGAAGATGAGAAGGAGAAAAAAGTAAAAAAGAATTCTATTATGCAGTAGAAGGATACTTATGGAAGTAAACAAAATTAACAGAAAAAATGAGAAATAGAAGATAAAAAGGGAGCCGGGCGTGGTGGTGCATGCCTGTAATCCCAGCACTTGGGAGGCTGAGGCAGGAGGATCGCTGTGAGTTTGAGATCAGCCTGGGCTACATAGTGAGTTCTAAGTCAGTCTCACTACATAGTGAGACCCTGTCTCAAAAAACAAAAAAAAAACATAAAAAGGGGAAAATAATGTGGAAAATAAAAATAGAAAAAATTAAAAGGAAAAAGAAAGAAAATAAGTTCAAAAACAGAAAAAAGGTCTGTATATTTGCAAGAGTAGTTGCTTTCTGGCAAGCTTATGGCACATGTATTATTGTTTATGTATGAGTTTTTTCTAAACTAAAACCTCAGTATTCAGGTTTAATTGTAGTGCTGGCATTTAGTCATAAATAAATGAGCTTAGGGTTGAATGTAGCACTCACTGCTAAAAGGCTCACCATCACTGTCCTAGCCTTATGGCTGATGGGTTTGTAAGATATGCCCCTTCTTCCAGAGGCCTCTGTTAACCCCAGGCTAAGATGTGTATGGGGAAGGCAGTCAGACCTCAGATCTGTGTTGGATGGAGGCAGCAGGCAAGGTTTAAGAACTTAATTCTGGCAGACCCTTTGGACCTGGCTATTTCTGAGCACCACTCAAGCTGAGCCTGACTTCTCACCATAGGGGTTGGGGACTGTCTCCTTCCCAGCCTGAGTTCAAAATTCTCAGGGGACTTCTTTCTAACCTGCTCCCTGTCTTCAGCTGCTCACATGACTGTCTCTCACCCAGTCACTGTGAGACGGTAACACTTGGAGCCCTGAAGTGAAGTTGTTTTTAATTGTTTTGAGTTCTAGGTTTAGATAAACAATGCCTTCCTGAAATGGTGTCAAACAAAGCACTCTCTGGCAGTATGGTCAGTGCCTATGCTGGAATCCTCTCTGGCTGTTGCTCACCGTGTGGAAGGAGTCCACTTGCACTGTTTTGCAGTTCACAAAGGCTGTGGGTTCCACTGCCACTTCCTGGATCTCCTGGCCCTGGGTGCTTATGCTTCTTAGGAGCCCAGTTCTCCTCCCCATGAGCCACAAGAGCTGGGGAAAGAGTCAAAATTGTTTTCTTCCTTTCTCTTCATTATGGAGCATCTTACCAACTTCTTGGTAGCTTATGGTTTTTCGTGTCAGTTCCTTCCTGATTCCTATTGATCTACTTCTCTTTTTTTTTCTTCAACAAGTTGTTATTTTCAAATGTCTGGACTCTGGATTTCAGAGAGACTGAATTTTACTACCAATTACTACTCCACCATTTTCTTTCTCCTCCGTATTTCTATTCTTCCTAGTAATAGAAGCTCCAGCCAGAGGAATTCAGAAAGGTAAATTGCCATCCAAACTGGAAAGGAAAAAGTAAAATTATCCTGTTCTGTAGACACGATATGACATAATCTTGTAGAAAACCCTAACAACTCCGTAAGTTGTGAGAAAATTTGATGTCTAAAAAAATTATAAAGATTTAGAAACAAATATTATTTCCCCCTAACTTTCTGTTTTTGTCTTTATGGCTTGTATGTGTGAAAACAGAGGCTACCCTTCCAGGGTGAATGCCTACTTTTAGTGTCCAGGGCACCAACATCAGGCTCTAGGCAGCCTTGAAGTATCTTCTGTTCATAGTCTGCCTAACTTGCAAGACACCTGCCTTCCTACCTAGCTTACATCAAGCAAGAAGCCCAAATTTAATTTCCTTTAATGTTGTATCTATGTTCCTCCCAGGTGGCTGTTTTTAGTATGGTAGCTGAGAGGCGGGCTTTGGAGTTTTTTTGAGCCAGTGAGAATCCCAGCTATGCTACTTCCTGGCCACACTGTCTGGGTGTTGGTTTCTTGATCTGTACATGGATATCATAATGCTTATGAGGATACATCAGAATTAAATGAGATAATGTACATACAGTATATAACACAGTCCCAAGTAGCTTTTTATAATATTGTTGCAATACTTAAGGATAATACTAGAATTTGACTACTTATCTTCTCTTTTTCATCATACCCAATGATACAATTGTGAACAATGTTATGTGTATCATTTTAGTTTTCCTTGCACAATGTTTTTCTAAAAAATGAAATCATTGTTCTATAATTTGCTTTTTTAACAAAATAATTATGCTATTTTCTTGCACTGATAAATTTATCCACAGCAGCATTTTTTTTTTTTTTTTTTTTTTTTTTTTTTG